AAGTCTCCAAATTATTAATTACTGATAATGTAATAAAATATAACTAAAATGCTGGTTGCTTTAAGTCCTTTTTTGATTACAGTATACACACAAATAAGTTATAAATAAATAAATCATTAACATTTGCTAAGTTCTTTTTAAAAAGGCCTATATGATGAATTATAACTAAAATAAAACAAAGCATTTGGTTCTGGTCATGTGAATTGATTGTTTTTAAAACAGAATACTGGAGGAAACACATTTTCTCTATAAAAGAAATAAAGAAATTTTGTATGAGAAATATACTCCAGAAAACTCAGTACTTAAAGATAACCTATTGTGAATTGTTTTATAAAACAATCACTCCTCTGATACATTATTTTTAATAATCAGAAATGGAAATACATAAGCTTTGATCAAAGGAATATATTGGTCATGATTTCATCAGAGTAGGTAAGTTTGTTTTTTCTTGATTATGATTAACATTTTAAAAAACTTGAGATCCTTCAAAAAATTGAGTCAAAATTTCCTTAGTTTAATTCCTTTTTACCTTATTTAGTTTTCCTCACTGGGTTAAAAATGTTTTACTTTATTTTCATGCTCATTATTGTTAGCACAGTATACTTATTCCAATGAACTAAACATGAGGCAAGGCAAGGCTTTAAAGACACAATTATTGTAATGGCAAAAAAATGACAACAATACCGATGTTGGTAAACAAAGAAAACACTGGATAAGTCATAGTATATTTGCACTAGGGAACACTCTGAGCTATCTAAAAGAATGAGATTGGCATACACAGTGTTTTATAGTACAGATGGTCCTTTCCCTTGCATTGTCTCATTGGTGATGTGGCAGTTAGTTTAATGACCATTTTGAAAATGAGGAATCTGGGGCTCAGGCTCAGAGAAGTTATTCAGTAAGCCCTAGATCACACAGCAGAACCACAAAAGAGGTGGATAAATTCCAGCCTCTTGATTAGTTCTGTGCTGTTTCCATACTTGTTGCATCAGTGCAGTCCTCATCCTTACCAGGCACCTTCTGGCCTGACTACTCTTAGGTAATAACATTAGACGTAAGTTCCCAGGATTAAGTTTCCTTTGACCTCCGATGTGGGTAGAACTCCATTTAGACTGAAGCCCCTTCTGAGAGCAGCCGCTATGGACTCCACAACGCCGTCCTTGCACTGCATGTGCAGTGTTTTAAACTCCCTCTGGGATGAAAGCTGACCTTGGCTGAGCACATTCTGCGCTAAGGGGTTGACAGGTCCCATCTCATTTAATCCCCCTAATAACCTTGGGCGTTGGCTACTCTTCTTATCCCCACTTTACACATGCGGTAACCGAGGTACTGAGAAGATAAGCAGCTTGGTGAAGCAGAAACGCTGCAGGACGAGGGCAGTGGAGCCCCCGAGCCCGTGCTGCGCAGCTCCCTGCACATGTGGCACTTTCACCCTGTGTCGTAGATTTAATACTGGCGGGACCGCTATGTGCAAAGAACTCCGTTAGGTTCCGGGGTCACTGCGGACCTTAGATCCTTGTACATTTTAGTACAGAGAACAGACTGTGAACAACTGATCACATAAGATCCCACACACTGCAGGGCAACACCATGAAGGAGAAGCCCAGAAAGCCCCCTAAGCAGGTAAGAAGACTCTGATCTAACTTGAAGAAAGGAAGAACAGGAAGAACACCAGGAGCTGGCCAGGCCGTGGGCAGGAGAGTGGCAGGAGGAGACAGCAGAGAGGGAAACGCCCAGTGGGCGCAGCCACTGGCGACTCTGCCTTGTCACCCTTACTTCGTTAGGGACCATTTCTTTTTCATCGTTACATCCCTAGAGCAAGTGCTAGCAAACTACGGCTGGCCACCTGTTTCGGTAAACACAATTTTATGGGAGTACGCCCACGGTTTTCTATTTACGTATTTTCTGTGGCTGCTTTCACTCTACAATGGCAGAGTGGTTGCAACAGAGACTATTTGGCCCACAAAGCCAAAAATATTTATTATCTGGTGCTGTACAGAAAACACTTCCAACCTCTGCCCAACAGCAAAGGGCACAGTACTTTGTATATAGTAGCCATTCAATAATTTTTTAAAATTATGTTTGTTTTTACTTTACTTCTACAAAATGTCGAAGGGGGTTATAATAAATATACAGATTAAAAACAAGCAGTCACAAAGACCACATATTGTATGATCCATGTACATGAACTATCCAGAATAGGTAAACATAGAGGCAGAAAGTAGATTCGTGGCTTCCCAGGGCTGGGAGAAGTGGGGAGGACAGAGGGGAAGAAAGAGTGCCTGCTAATGGGTTTTTATTTGGGGGTGATGAAAATGTTTTAAAATTGATTGTGAAAATAGATGCACAGGTCTATAAATACACAAGAAATCCATGGATTATACACTTTAGATAGGTGAGTTATATGGCATGTAAATTGTATCTCAACAAAGTTGTTACTAAAAAAACAAAACCAAAAGAGCCAAATAACTGACATGTGCTTTTGTTTTGATGATGGGGATTTAGGTTTCGTAGAGGGAAGATAAAGTTACTCTATCAGAAGGTCCTGTTAACAGCAACGACAACAAAAAAAATTATAAAAGAACAAACGAGTTGAATCTGACCTTCCTAGATACCATGGTGGGAAATGTTAAATATAATTCATTATACATTATAAGGAGCACCGAACAATTAATGCTAAAGGCAAATGTCCTGTTAGTCCCAAGCTCTAGAGAAATCACTATGTGGATTTTTGTATAGGGCTCATAGACAAAAATGAGAGCCAGTATCCTCAAAGGCAGTTTTACAGAAATCAGAGTGATGCTTCACCAGCAGCAGTTTATGGTGACTCTTAATGAAGGCCAAGGGCTCGGAGACATTTTTAGTTGTCTAGGCCAGCACTAAACAATAGAACTTTCTGAGATGATAAAAATGTTCTGTATCTTTAGTGTCCAGTAAGGTAGCCACTATCCTCATGTGGTTATTGAGCACTGAAAATGTGACTAGTGCAACTAACTGTAATTAAAATTAAAGTGTAATTGAATTTTATTCAATTTAATTTATTCAATTAATTTAAATAGCCACCTGTAGCTAGTGACTGCTGTACTGGGCAGAGCAAATCTAGAAAGTACAAAATGAAAAATAGAACATTATCCATTGAGCCCTAAACATTACTGAGCAAGTTTTG